GATCAGACCCAGATGTCCGAGGTGCAGTCCCCCATTCCCAGACCCCCAGATTCCCAGGGAATTCCCATAAAATTCCCGAATTTCCAGGATCAGACCCAGATGTCCGAGGTGCAGTCCCCCCCCGGGTATCGAACCTCGTGGGCCAGGCAGGGCCCCCCCGGCTCCTTCCCAAAATCCAGCAGGAATTTGGGATTGGGGCTCAGCCCCCCCCGCTCCGGGTCCACGTCCAGCTGCAGCAGCACCGAGCCCTCCCTGGGGAAAAATGGGAATAAAAATGGGAATGAAAATGGGAAAAATGGGAATGAAAATGGGAAAAAATGGGAATAAAAATGTGGGCGGAGGGGAATTAAAGAAATGGGGTTTGGGAATAAAAAAAATGGGGCTGGGACTGAGAGAAGGGTTTGGGGCTGATGCAACTTAAGTGGAATCAATGAACAATTAACTGTCAATAACAAATACATCATTAATACAATTAATTAGGAAATTAATACCCAGTTAAAAACCAATTAACCACCAGCAACCCCAAATAATAAACAGCTCAAAACCACGAAATTACCAAATTATCGCCAGCTAGCACCCAATTAACGCCCAATCCGCGATTAATCAGTAATTAGTCGGTAATTAGTCGATAATTAAGGAGGTCTCACGTCATCATCTCGGGGTAGAACTGCCGGTCCCAGGCGCTGAACAGCGACGTGGTCACGTAGAGACGGCGCCCGTCCAGGCTGAGCTGCAGCATCTGGGGCCCCCCTGGGATCCTCTTCCCCTGGAATTCCCAAAATTCCAGCCAGGCAACCCCAAATCCCAACATTTCTTTTTTGGGAAAAATCCCCCAAAATTCGGGGTTTTGGATGCTGGAAATGTCCAAAATTTGGGAAAAGAAACCCCCAAAAATTTGGAATATTCACCTGGAAGGAAGATCCAACCTCAGGGGGAATTTTGGGTGTTGGAAATTCCCAAAATTTTGGGTTTTTTCCCCAAAAAAGTGGGAATTTTCACCTGGATGATGCAGGGCTCTGGCTGCTCCTGCAGCTCCTGATCCTCCAGCACGGTCACTGCTCCCCCTTTGCAGATGCTGCCTCCCAAAAAAACCTGGAAAAAACATGGAAAATAATGGAAAAATCAGTGAATCCAGAGGGAATTCGGAAAAATGGGAATAGAATTTTTGGGTATTTTTTGAGGATTGTTCAGGCATTTTTAGGGCATTTTTGGGGGGTTTTTGGTGATTTTTGGTGAATTTTTTGGAATATGTTTTTGATTTTTTTGTGAAATTTTTGGGGGGAATTTTCTGGGTTTTTTTTTGGGAGTTTTTTGGGAATTTTTTGGGCACTTTTGGGCATGTTTTGGGGCGTTTTTGGCTCACCTGCCCCACGAGTTTGGGGTGCCCGGGGTCGCTGATGTCGTACTGGCGCACGTCCCCGTGGATCCAGTTGCTGAAATAAAGGAATTTGTCGTCCAGGGAAATCAGAATATCCGTGATCAAACCTTGCAGAGAGAATTCCAGAGTAAAATCAGGGAATGGCAGCAGGGAGAATCCCAAAAAATTCCCCCAAAAATCCCCCCCAAAAATCCCCCAAATCCCCCAAAAAGATCCCAAATTTCCAAGTGGGAATGCAAAAAAAAAAAAAAAAAGGGTTGGGAAAGGTTGGGAGGGGTAAAATTGAGCTTGGGAATTGTTTTGGAATTTCTGAGGGAATTTTTGAGCAAATCCAGAATTAAATTCAAAAGATTTTCTTGGAGAATTAACAATTAATTGGGAATTAATTCAAGGCTCTCCAGCATTCCCAGAATAATTCCTGAGAAAATCCAGACCCAAATTCCAGGGATTTTCCTGGAATTCTGCCAAGATCCACTCTGGATCCGTGAGAAAATTCCCAATTTTTTCCCATTTTTTTCCCGAATTTTCCCCATTTTTTTCCCGCATTTTTCCCACTCACCTGGCATTTCTGGGAGGAGCCATCCCTGGACTTTCTTGCTGGGCACCACAATCACCTTCTCTGCTTCCCATTTTCCTTCCTGAGCGAGGCAAAAACGTGGAATTATTCACCCAAAATTCCAGGAATTTCCACAGTCCCACCGTGATAAAACCTGGGAGAATTCTCTAAAAAAAAGAAATCAGGAATTCCGCGGAAAAGGCCCCAGTCCCTGTTGGGTTTTGCCCCCAAATCCTGGGAATTCACAGGAATTTTGTACAATTGATGGATTTCCCTGCTCAGGATGATGAAATCTGGGGAAAATCCCCAAAATCCCTGGAATTCCCCAGGAAAAGCCTCAATTCCTGGTGGATTTTGCCCTAAAAATCCTGGAATCCCACAGAAAAACCCCAGGAATTCCATGGTAAAATCCCCCCAAATCCCAGGAACTCACGGAGTTTTTCTGGAATTTCCAGATCTCCCCGCTCAGGGCGCACCCCACAAAGCCCAGGGCAGCTTTGGGGTCGTGCAGGAACCGAATTTCCAGGGGGATCGAGCCCGACCCCAAATCCAGCTCCTGGATCAGGCGCCGCTCGCTCCAGTCCCACACGTTGATCCGGCGCCCGTAGAGCCCTGGGAGAACGGGGAAAAATCCCAAATTTACCCCAAATTCCCCAAAATTCCCGGGGTTCAGGGAGGGGTGGGAGGGGAAAAAACCTGGGGTTTATTGAGTGGGTTTTTAGGGTGGAAATTCTGATTTTTTAGGGGTTTTCGCACAAAATTTTGGATTTTTTAGGGGTTTTTGGGTTCAAAATGTGGTTTTTTTTTAGGGGTTTCCGGGGTTTGAAATTTGGATTTTTTTAGAGGTTTTTGGGGTTCGAAATGTGGGGTTTTGTTATAGGTTTCTGGGTTCAAACTGTGTGTTTCCAGGTGCTTTGTGAGCGGAGGGATGTGGCCAGACCTTGCTGCACGTGCCCGGGGTGGAAGCCCTGGGCCAGCGCCCTGGGCTCGCCCCACTCGCTGCTCAGCAGGACGTTGTGCCGGGGCTGGTACCAGAAGTCGTAGCCAAAGCTGGGAATTTTTCCTCCCTTTTCCCAATTTCCTTTCACCTCGAAGGTTTCTCCATCCAGGAGGACGAAAGTGCCTGGAAAAAATAAAAAAATTCCCCCAAAAAATGAGGTTGGAGAGATGGATAAAGCTTGAAATGAAATTATTTATTTACTGAAATTTACATTTATTTAAAATAAATTTTTACCTATAATGATTCCTGGAATCATTTCCTATTAGAGAATTTCATTTTTAAATAAAGCAAATTATTCTTTATATACGTTTATTTGTACGTGTTTATTATTTCTTTTTTATTCTGATTTATTCTTGTTCTCCTATAATAATAATTCCTGGAATTATTTCCTAGTGGAAATTTAAATAAAGCAAATAATTTTTATTTATTTTTATTTATTTTAAAGAAATGGAGCATTAAAAAAAGCCAGAAAATCAACAAAAAACCGCTGGAATTTACCAAAAAAAACCAGGAAAATCCCAAATTTTTGCTGGATTTTGCTGCTGGGGATGGGAATGAATCCCTGGGGAGATTTTTTTTTTGGGAATGTTGGGAATTCCGAACCTTTTCCGCGTCCCTGAGGATCCCCCAGGCAGCTGATGAGGATTTCCCCCGAGCCCAGGCAGTGCGAGGTGTGCGGGAACGCGGCCGCCGCCTTCCGGGACAACTCCTCAGCCTCCACCACCTGGAACGGGGCAAAAAACGGGAAAGATGGGAAAATCGGGAACGTTCCGGGATGAGGGAAATGTCACCTTTCCTTTCCGGGACAACTCCTCAGTTTTTAGCACCTGGATTTGGGGAAAAATGGGAAAAATTCCAGGATTTGGGAAACGCCGTCATCCCTTTCTGGGAGAATTCCACAGTTTTCAGCACCTGGGATTGGGGCAAAACATGGGAAAAATGGGAAAATTGGAAATGTTTGAAGGGAAAAGGGGGGAAAAGGAGAAAAAATAAGGGGGGAAGGGGGAAAAAGGAAAAACTGGGATAAAGGGATGAAAAAAGGGGGAAAAAGGGAGGGGGAAAAAGGAGGAAAAAGCTGGGGGGAAAAGGTAGAAAAGGGAGTGAAAAAAGAGGGGGAGAAAGGGGAAAAATCAGGGAAAAAATCAGGAAAAAAGGCGGAAGAAGGCGGAAACAAGGAGAAAAAAGGGGGGAAGGGGAAAAAAGTGGAAAAAAATGGGAAAAAAGTGGAAAAAAAGGGGGGGAAAAAGCAGGAAAAAAGGGGGAAATGCCAATTTTGCCCCACCTTGTGCAGGCGGGGCGCCCTGGGGTCGGTGGCCACGTCCACGATGTAGATCCTGGAGGAGATGAGGCTGGGCAGGATGAGGAAATCCCGGGATTTGGAGGCGTCCCCGTGGCAGCTGCTGCAGGCGTTCCAGCCCGAGTGGTGCAGCTCGTCCCCCACGTGGGGCATGGGCAGCCGGTGCAGCACCTGCAGAGGGCACGGCACCATGGGCACGGAATTCCCGGGAATTCCTGGGATTTCTCCTGGGATTTCTCAGATTTTCCCGGATTCTCCCGGACTCTCCCAGGTTTGGAATCCCGGATTTTCCCGGATTTTCCCGGGTTACCTGGCAGTACCGAGGGGATTGGGGATCCACGTCCACGGTGGCCAGGAAGTCGGGAATGCCGATGCCGGTGTTGCGGTAGATGCAGGGCAGGTAGAGCAGCCGCTCCCGCGGCCCTGGGGCCACAAACCGCCATCACATTCCCGAAATTCCAGCTTGTCCCACCCCTCTTCCCTCCCCCTGATCCCACAGCAATTCCAGGATTTGGGAATGCTGGCCCCGGCGCTTGCCTTTCATGGCCTCCAGGGGGCTGGCGTAGCCCGGCCCGCACGCTCCGCATTTCCCTGCTGGGAAAGGAGAAAATTCCAATTAAAAATTCCCCCCCCAAAAATTATTTCATCAATTCCAAATCCCGGACCTGCCGCCAAAAATCCTGGGAATTTGAGGCTTTCCATTGGGTCCTCAATGCCGGTCTCTCATTTCTGTCTCCCGGCCTCGAGTCCATGGAATTCCCAATTCCCCATTCCCAATTCTTCATTTCCATTTCCCAGCCTTAAATCCATGGAATTCCCCATTCTCCATTCCCAGTCTTACATCCATGGAATTCCCCATTCCCAGATCCTCAATCCATAGAATTCCCCATTCCCAGATCCTCAATCCATGGAATTCCCCATTCCCAGATCCTCAATCCATGGAATTCCCCATTCCCAATTTCCCATTCTTAAATTCATGGAATTCCCAATTTTTGGACCTTGGATTTGCTCATTCCAGGGAAAAAAAAAAAAAAATTGGATTTTATCCCAAATGTTGGGGCTTTCCTTTTATTCATTCCAAGAATAAAATACTGGAATTTTTCCCAATTTTTGGGCCTTGGATGTGCTCATTCCCAGGAATAAAATACTGGAATTTATCCCAAAATTTGGGGCTTTCCTTTTGTTCATTCCAGGGAAAAAAAAAACAACAGCTGGATTTTCCCCCAAATTTTGGCTCCCTGGGCTGCCCCGAAGTGCCAAATTAGGAGGGATAAATTTAGGATTTTTAGCAAGGGCTGGGGAAAAAATGGGAATTTATTTGGAATTCCAAGGTTGAATATCAAAATATTCCAAATTCCAGGGAGACAAATCCGGATTAAATTCGGGAAAAAATCAAATTAAAATGAAAATAATGGAGCAGCCACAGGGAAAAAAAAATCCAGGATTTTCAGGAATCTTTTCCCAAAAAAACCAAATTCCCAAGGAAATTGAGGGAGTTCATTTTTTAGAGCATTTCAGGATTTATTTCCTTCCATAATTCCCAAATTTTTGGAGCTCCTTCCAGGTGTTGTCAATCATTCCCAATTTTTTAAAAATCAACTTCCAGGACCTTGGAGGGAAAGAAAACCCAACCAAAACCAGAAACAAAAACACCCCAAAAAAACCAACAAAAAGAACCCTCAAAAAATTCCACTTGGGAGTGAAAAACAATCCAGGAAAATCGGGATATTTCTTGGTTGGAATATTGATATTTTTGGCTAAAATTCCCACTCAAAATTCCTCAGTTTTGGCTGGGTTTGATCCCAAAAGTCCTGATTTTTTAAAAAAATTTTCCCTCTGTTTTGCATTCCCAATAATTCTCATGGAAACAGTTTCCAAGTTTTTTGGCTCCTCCCACTTTTCCCTCAGGGCCAAAAGTGAAAGTTCCTGGAAATCCGAGGTTTTATTAAAAAAAAAAAATCAAGAAAATGTTTCTGGAAATCAAGGATTTATCCCCAAAAGCATTTGAAAAAATCAGGGAAAAGCTCAATGATTTTTCCAAGTTGTTTTTTTTTTTTTTTCTATTCCCAATCAGGAGTTTTTCCCCATTTTTTTGGAGTTTAAGGATTAAAAATTCCCAATTAACTGGAAGCAAAAATGGATTTTAATCAAGGAATCCAAGCTCCTAATTAAAACCCTCGGGGTGTTTAGGGAATATTAAATATTTAAATCAGGGAAAACTGGAATATGACCCGACCCACCCCCCCCCGGGCACCAAAAGCAGCAAATCCCGGGGTTTTTTTGGGATTTTTTTGGGAATTTTTGCGGATTTTGGGATCTCTTACCCATCCTGGATCGGGCTGGGAAGGAGAATTCCAAAATTTCTTGGATTTTTATGGAGAAAGAGCCGGGAAAGGGCTCGGAAACGCAAGGAAAAAGGGGCGGGATTTGGGAGAGGAGGAGCCAAGGCACGGGGGGGAAAAAAACAAAAAACAAAAATTCCACCTTAAAATCCCAAGGGAAACTCCCAAACTTCTCCCACCCTGCAATTCCCGATTTTTTTTTTTTCTCAATTTTTTCCTTTTCAATCCAAATTTTTCCATTGTCCCCCAGCCTGGAGAAGGAATTTGGGAATAGAGAAGGAGGGAGGAGTTTTGGCTGAAAAAAAGGGATTTTTGGGAATGTTTCCAGGAGGTTTTGGTTCCAAAGTTCGGGATTTTTTTGGAATTTTTCCAGGGAATTCTCTCCTAAGGGATTTCAGCAACTTCTAAAGATATTTTGGGGTTTTTTTGGGTGGAAAAAAATTTAAAAACCAAGCCAATAAACAAGATTTTTTTTCCCCCTGGAAAATGAGGATTTCACTCCTAATTCCTGCTGGGGTTGTCCCTAATGAGAATTAATGATTTAATTAATGATTTAATTAATTTATTATGGAATTTTTACGGGTCCTGCCTTTTTTTTCCCTCCCTCCAGGGAATGTTTATTTTGGAATTTCTGAAATATTCCCATTCTTTACATCCCTGCTTTTCCAGGGAAAAAAAAACCAACCAAAAATGGGATTTTCCTGGTATTAATAAAGAGATTTTAATTATTATTTAGGGATTGTTCCTTTATTATTGAAGTGATTTAAATTCTTATTTATTTTCTCCATTTTGGGTTTTTCACTCATTTTTGGGGCAGTTTCCCCCCATTTTTGGTTTATTTTTTCCCCATTTTGGGGCTGCTTTCCCCCCATTTTTTAGCTATTTTCTCTCCAATTTTGGGCTATTTTTCCTTAACTTTTGAAGCTGTTTCCCCTCATTTTTTTTTTCTATTTCCTGGGCTGTCATCTCCCAGATTTTTTTATGTTTTTCCTCCTTTTTTTTTTGCCCATTTTCCCCTCATTTTTGGGGCTGTTTTTTCCCCTTTATTTTGGGCATTTTCCAGCCCAAACTCATCCTTTACCCACAGCCCCAAACCTCCTCTGGGTAATTCCGGAATTTTCTCCTTAAATCTCATCCCAAAGAGGAAAAGATTTTAATCTTTATTTTTAATCATTGTTTTAATCAACATTTTGGCACCTGGGAAAAGAGAATTGAATAAAAAAAATTCTATTTTTAGCAGCACAAAAAGCGTGGGAAGAGCCCATCCCAAATTCAAATTAGTCCAGAGATTAAAATCTGCTTTGGCTCACAACAACTTCCTTAATTAGCCCTTAATTAGCCCTTAATCATCCCCAGGTACCCTAAAAATCTCCTTTCTTTACTTTGGAATTCATTGTGGGACAGAAAATTTGGGTTTATTCCTAAAAAAAAAAAAAATTAAAAGTTTGGGAGCTCAGGGCTCTCCAATTTCTGTCCCATCCCAAATTTCATGAGGAATATGGAAAAAAAAAAGGGAATTAAAGCAGGAATTTTAAATGTATTTAAGTGTTTTGTGTATTTAAATGAGATTAAAATATATTAATTAATAAAAATAAAATTTACTTTATTAATCCCATTCTCCTGTTTTGATGGATTCTTTCCCAGATGTTGGATCCCGATTCTTCCAAGGTGGAGAAAATGGGGAAAATTCTGATTTTCTACCTTGAAATTCCAGCCTGGAATTCCTTCCCTAAAGGAGAAAAGGAAAAAAAAAATCCAGTTAAATTCATATCCTGATTTAAAATATGGGAAAAAAATTATACTTAATAAATAAATAATAAAATAAATAAAACAAAAAATTAAATATTTCAAATCTGAATTATTTAACACAGAGATTATTTTAAAAATAAATAAAACAATAGAAAAGAATTAACTATAAAATTTAAAACTCTAAATTTATCACAGATAACAGAAACTCTTTATCCCAATTAAGCTGATTTCCCCCATTTTTTGGGCTGTTTTCTCCATTTTTGACCCATTTTTTCCTCAATTCCCACCCCCATTTTTTGCTATTTAATTTTTTGGGGTTTTTTGGTGTTTTGTCGTTTATTTTTTTTTTCTATTTCCCCCCATTTTGTGCTCTCTTTCCCTCATTTTTTGGGGCTAGTTTCTTCTATTTTTGGTCTTTTTTCTCCTCATTTTGAGGCTGCTCCCCCCCATTTTTTGGTCTGTTTTCCCCTCATTTTTGGGGCTGTTTTCTGTCTTTTTTCCCCCTCGTTTTGGGGTTATTTTTTCATCATTTTTAGGTCTGACTTCCCCTCATTTTGGGGGGCTGGTTTTCCCCATCTTTGGTCTTTTTTCTCCTAATTTTGGGGCTGATTTCCCGCCTTTTTTTTTTTCTTCCCCCTCATTTTGAGGCTGATTTCCCCTCATTTTTTAGGCGGTTTTCCCCATTTTGGAGCTGTTTTTTCCTCTTTTTTGGGGGGACTGCTTTCCCCTCCTTTCCGGACTATTTTTCCTCATATTGAAGCTGCCTCAGGTGGGGAATTTTTAGCTTCAGGATGGAGATTTTTGAACACTTCGGAGACAAAACTCCTCACCTGGGCATGTCAAGGGCTGCAAGGTGGCTGCAGCCCATCCAGGTAGATCCAACACTGCCTCAGGTGGGAGATTTTGGCCTCAGGTGGAGAATATTTGGTCTCAGGTGGAGAATATTTGGCCAGGGAGCACCAACCCTCCCTCAGCGCTGTGGGCTGACCCCTCCTCACATCCCTGAGGGGCTCTGGGGCCGCTCGAACTCAACACGGGACCCCCTGCCCGGGACCGTCCCCTCAGCTCCTGAGGCAGCACCGGCCGCTCCTCCCAGCACTCCCCAACCCCTCGGGCCCTCAGCAAGCCCTGAGAATGGCGGATCCGTGAGGGGAAGGCCCGTGAGGAGCGGGCGGGGGTCGCGACCCAGCGGCGCCATTTTCCCGCCCTTCCCCTTCCCTCCCTCAGCCGCCTCAGGGCCCGGCCCCCGTGACGTCACCGCGCGCAGGAGGAAGTGACGTCACCGGTATCCCTCCGCCGTCCAGGTCCCCTTTTTGTGTGTGTGGTGTGTGTGTTGTGTGTGTGTGGTGCGGCTGCGGGCGCCGCGCGCCTGTATCAGCCCGCCGGGCCCGACGACCTTTTTTTTTAAATTCCCCCCCCTCCTTTTTTCCGTGAGGGGTGAAGTAGAGGAAGGGGGGGGGGGAAAAAACCCCACACGCACGCCAAGCACGGAGCCGCCCCCCCGGCAGAACGTACAGAGGGCGAGCAGAGCCAGGGATAATTCCTTCTTCATCACCATCTTCATCCTCCTCCACAGCATCCCGCCAAGTGTGAGGCGGGGAGGGGAGGGGAGGGGGGAGCTCATGCCACCTGCCCCCGCGCCCTGCGGGGAGAGGAAAGCGGCGGAGCCCCATAGGAGCGAGCGGCGGCAGCGCTGAGGAAGGTGAGGAGGGGGGCGCGGGGAAGAGGAGGGAGGGATGAAGGCAGCGGAGCCTCCCCGGGGGTAGCGGTGACGGCGGCGGGAGATGGAAGTTGGAGGGGGGAGGATCGGTAACGGTGAAACCGGCTCGAACCGCCCGGGAGTGGGGGAGAAGGAGGGAATGAAGAAGGAGGAGCGGGGGGGGGGCGGCAGGGCCGGAGCGCGCCGTACACAAAGCGGTGGCGGGAGGAGGAGGAGGAGAAGAGCAGCAGGAGGAGGAGGAGGAGGAGGGAGGGCTCGGGGTGCCGAGGAGGGGCCGGGGAGGAGCCGCGGCGGCTCCGGCGGCCGCTCCCGCCGGGCCCCGGGCGGGCGCTGAGGGACGCGGAGGGATCCGCGCGCAGCCCTCACGGCCCGGGGGGCGCGGTGAAGCGGCCGCCCTCAGGGGAGGGGGGCGGCGGTGATGCGGCCCCGCCGCCGCTGCTCCCTCCGCGCACCCCCTCCCGCCATACCGGGATCCCCTCACGGTTTCCTCACGGTGCCCTCACGGTCGCCCCCTCAGTCACCACCACGGGGATGAGGAAGGGGCGGTCGTGTCCCTCCTTCCTCCTCGCTTCTCCCGGTGCTGCCGCCCCCTCCTCTCTTTGGCGGCGCTGCTTCGCTGGTGGGCGGCCATGTTGGGCACGGGGATTATTTTTCGCTCTCTTTCTTAGCCGCCACAATACGCTGAGGCTGTGTGTGAGGGGGCTTTTCCCGGAGTTTTCCCGGTTTTTAGGGAAGGTTAAGGAAAAGGGGAGGGTTTGTGATCAGGGGTTTGCAAGGTGCGACCACCCCCCCTCCATCATCCTTGGCCTTGCTGGTGCTTCACCTTCGCTGAGTGAGTTCCCCTCTCCAGAGCCCTGAGGGGTGGGAGCCCCTCGGCCGCAGGGATTTGGGATCCCAGTCCTCATCCTCGGGGATTTGGGATCCCAGTTCTCACCCTCGGGGATTTTGGGATTGGGATCCCAGCCCTCCCCGGAGAGTCCTGGGGTCAGGAGTCCATCCCTCTGCTTTAGGGAATTGGGGTCCCAGACCTCACCCTCGGGATTTGGGATTGAAATCCCAGTCGTCTCCCTTTGGGATTTGGGATCCCAGCCCTCCCCGGAGAGTCCTGGGGTCAGGATTCCATTCCTCTTCTTTAGGGAATTGGGATCCCAGTCCTCACCCTCAGGGATTTGGGATCCCAGCCTTCTCCTCAGAGATTTGGGATTGGGATCCCAACCTTCTCCTCAGAGATTTGGGATCCCACCCCTCAAGGTTCTGGCATTGGGATCCCTCATTGTCAGGGATCTGGGATCGGGATCCCCATCCCTTCCTCAGGAATTTGGGATCCTCCCACCTGGATCCAAGCAGGAAAAAAAAATGGGAAAACTCCTCCAGGAATCCCAAAATTCCTGGAAAAGGATCAGCCCCACAGGAATTCCCTCCCCTCCCTCCTGCAGGCTTTGGGATTCCAGCCCAAAAATCCCCCAAGACTGCAGCTGCTGCTGGGGAAATTCCCAGAGTTTGGGAGAATTCCCAGAGTTTGGGAACATTTGGGAAAATTTCCAATATTTGGGGAAATTCCCAGAGTTTGGGAATATTTGGGGAAATTATTAATTCTTATTTTTTGTTTTCATTCTTCTATTTATTTTAATTCTTATTTGTGTTTTTAATTTTAAGCATGCACAATTTTCCCTTTAATTCCCAAAATTCTTGGAATTTTCCTCCTGGTGCTTCCAACCTTGGGAATTCTCTCTGGGCCAGGGAATGATGGAAAATCTTCTTGGAATGGGGGGAAAAAAAAGTCTATAATTTATATTTTAATCTATATTTTATTAATATTTTTATTTGCACAGTATGTATATTTCTAAATGTTAATACTATTTTAATTTATTTTTGCTCACATTTATTTATATTCATAGTTTTAACTTTTATTTTTGTTGTATTTTTAATTTTGTTTTTACTTAATTTTAATTCTATTTCATGATTGTCTATTTATTTCTTATTTTTAAAAATTTAATATCATTTAATTCTAATTTTAATTAAAAGCCTCCAAACCAAAGCTGAGAAAAAAAAAAAAAATCCCAATTTTGGGATTTTCATCCCAAATTCCAGAGAATTCCTTGGAAAGAAATAAAGATTTTAATCCTAGAATTCTTCATTAAAAAAATCCCAATTTTGGGTTAAACCAGAAAATTTTAATCCTGAAATCCAAGAAAAAAACCAAAGATTTAAAACCTGGAATTCCTGATTTAAAAAATCCCAATTTTGGCTCAATTTCATCCCAAATTCCAAGGAATTCCTTGGAAAAAAAGCAGAGAATTTAAACCTGGAATTTCTCAGTGAGAAAAGAGCAAAAAAATTCCAACTTTTTTTGGAAATTCCTTGGGGGAAAAAAAAAAAAAACCAAACCAAAAATTTCCTTTTTTTTGTTTTTTTAAGATTTTCAGGTTCTAACCCCAACCCAACCCCATCATTCCCATTCCTCCTTTTGGGAAATAAAAAATTCCTGTTTTTTTTTTCTGAAATTCCCATTTTTCCCCCATTTTTTCCAGGATGGCAGACACGGATCTTTTCATGGAATGTGAGGAGGAGGAGTTGGAGCCCTGGCAGAAAATCAGCGACGTCATCGAGGACTCGGTGGTGGAGGATTACAATTCCATGGAAAAAAATCCCACAGGTACAGAAAAAATAAAAATCAAAAATCCTTTGGAATTGCCAATTCCTGCCTTTGCAGCTCAAAATGTTCCCGTTTAGTGGCTAAAAAAATCGATTTATTGGTTAAAAAATCTCATTTATTGGTTAATAATTCCATTTATTGATTGAAAAATGCCAATTATTGGATAAAAATCCCAATTTTTGAGGAATTTATCCCATTCCTGCTTGGAAATAATTATTTGGGAAGCAGGAAATGGCTTTTATCCCATTTTCCCTTCTTTTCCCCTTTCATTTTTCCTTCTTTTCCCACTCAATATTTCCCCTTTTCTTCCTGATTTTTTTCCCCTTTTCCCACTTAATTTCCTGCTTTTTTCCCAGGTATTTTCCCCTGGATTTTCCCCCCTTTTCCCCCATATCTTTTCCCCATATGCCCCTGGATTGTTTTCCCCTTTTCCCCCCATATTTCCCCCGTTCTCCCCATATTTTTCCCTCTTTCCCCACAGATTTTTCCCCTCGTTCCCCTTAATTTTCTCCCCCTTTTCCCCCATATTTGCCCCCATACCCCTTGTTTTTTCCCCCATATCCCCTGGATTTTTTTCCCCGTATCCCCATGGATTTCCCCTTTTCCCCACATTCCCCTGGATTTTCCCCACAGCTTTTCCCCACAGATTTTACTCTGTATCCCCCTGTATTTTCCCCCCGTATTTCCCCC